ACACACACGCACATGCTTCTATTAATTACTTTTAAAATCAAGCCTCTTGCCTCTTTGGGTATAGGGGAGAGGTATCCTTTAGCAAGCATTTGCCACATTGTACTCTTTTCTTGTTTCCCAATACCTTCTGAGAGATAAAAATTGTGAATTTTACATCTTTGTTTTCCTGGTATGTAGTGTAGTACCCAGCATATATTTGCACTCAACCCCTTATTAAAATAATAATAATAATAATAATAATAATAATAATAATAAATGGCAAAAATCAAATAGAGTGTCTTCCTTGCTCATAATTATAAAAGCATACCCATCTACAAAAACCCCAACATGGGGGAAATTGATTATAGAGTTTTATTTGCTTCCCTATAGACTGACAAAATATAGGAGCCTCTTGGAAAAGCATTTTGGCTCTTGCAAAAGGAAGAGTCTTAGGACTTGTCAGGATTGAAATGCTTTAGCTGTATTCTGAGAAAACATTTGCATGGACCCTGCACACCAAGCATGTCAAACTTGTGGCCCAAGGGCCACATGTGGCCCACAATGAATATTTTTGTGCGCAGCCAATACAATGTAACAGTATGTAAGAAATGTATTAATAAAAATTTCACAACTTAATTTTCACAATATCCTGTTATAAGTAATTATTAATAACGAACTACAATGTTCGCTAATGACTGATTACTATAATTGTGTTGCATTCATTTGCCTTATTCGCCTTACACACAGGGGCACCATTTCTCTCAGCTAATCCTAGCAGCAAATATTTTTAGCAGCCAATTGCCGTCATTAGTCTTGCACTGTCTTGTTTGGTGTGTGCAACAGGAAATATTTCGCTTTCAGAGAATGAGAAAAAAATAGGTTCCTTTGTGTTATGCTTATTAATTTGTGCACTTATTCAGTGTCTGGTAAGTTAATATTTAAGAAAAATATTATTTTTTATTAAAATGTTCTATTATTGTATGTTAACGATGACTCATTTATTTCAGCCCTTTGTATTCAGCATGTCTCAATCGAAATAAACCTAATTAAAGGTTTTGTTTTTTTGTAGCCCACATAAATTTAAACCTTGTTTATTTGGCCCGTGTTAGCCTTTGAGTTTGACATGCTTGCTGCAGACTACATGTGCCTATCAGGAGGGTTATTTGTAGATCATCTCTAATGAACTTTTTATGCAACTTATGAAAATCACAATTAAAGCACAGAAAGTGCTGATAAAAAACACATTAACATTCCTTTAGCTTCAAGGAAAAGTCTTGATATCTAGTCATTAACTGGGCATTCTGCCCTCAGACTTCCTTCTGCTTTAATATGCTAAAGAGAAACACATCTTCTGTGAACAATGCTTTTCTTAAATTCCTTATGCTTTGCTGCTCTGCTGTGAAGTCCTAATTCCTCTGAATCTAAACACTCATTAACTCCCAAGAACTATTAGCTATTTGGAGTCAAATGAATGAAAAGGGTGAAAAAAGAGTAAAGTTTAATTTTCAAACCAATAAAAGGGTCTTTATGTGTGTTTTTTGTTAAGATCTTAAGGGTGTTTTAGTTGGGTTTCTTATTTGCTTGTTTGGCTATCTGTAGAACAAACAGGGGCTAAGGATTTTTAAAGTTAAAATCAATTTCATTTTTCAATCAGATTCTATTCATCTTTGTCTTTATTACTTAGGTTTATTAATGAGTTTTCTGTAACTTTAAGTATCTTGTTTTTATAACAGATTTGTTTTTGTTTTGAGAAAGGTGTGGAGGGATGGAGCTTACTGACATTTTCTTGTTTGCATTCTTCCGTGTCTTTTTTCAATTTGAAGAGCTGAAGGTAATATGCTATATTTTATTTTAATTTCACTTGTAATACCTATCCAAAGTGTCTAGCTCTATGTACTATTGTTGCCATCATAAATAGCTATTTTATTAATATTAATAATAGAAAAAATATGCCCTAACTGGTTTGGCTCAGTGGATAAATCTTCAGCCTGTGATTCAAGGGTTCCAGGATCCATTCCTGTCCAGGACATATACCTTGGTTGCAGGCACGTACCCACTGAGCCAAACCGGTTTCAGCCAATAAAATATATTTTTTTAAAAATAAAAAAAAATAAAAGGGAAGGCCAGACATTATAAGCATGGACATTTGGGCAGCTTCACTAGGAAGCTGCATCTTTACCCTCCAGTATAAAGGAGCCACCAGTCCGTTCCCTGCAGATACTGGGAAAGGGATCAAGCAAAGGGGTGAATGGGCACATGTACAGTGAAGTGGGGGTGACACAGGGAAGACACTGGCCTGTCAGTCTGGCCTGTGGAACCATGGATTGCCTAAAGGGGTTGAGCCACTGCAAGGATGTGAAATCCTGAAGGATTCATTTGTTAAGCTCCTAATTAAAATTCCCCATAAAAGAAAATGTCCCTCTCTTGTTCCTCTTGTTTCTGTTGCATTGCTCCTGCTTCCTTGCACTTGCTTATTCAGGGACCTACACTAGCCTGCCATGTGGCCCTGGAAGCCGCAAGACCATGACCTCAAACTCCATGGACTGGAGCTTGTAGCACAAGCTAAGCTAGCCAGATGCTGGACTAGACTGTGCTTTAATATAGAGAGAAGGCTCTGGGCAATGGCTTTAATCCCAGCTCTGCGAAAACCAATGGGACGCTTTCCACGGCGAGATGGAGAAAGAGGGAACCTTGGAAGGGAACCCCCTTAATTTCACATCATCAATAAAGCTTTTCATGATACCTGATCCTCCTTTGGGGCCCAGGAATTCTTGTTCCCATGGCACTCCAATATGCCTACTTTCAGCAGCAACAGGTGGGGACATGGAGGGCACTCCACAGATAACAGGATCTTCTGTATTAGGAAAGATTATGACCCTGTAACATTTGCTTGTTCTTCCTTGTACTTTCTATGGAGCATTCACAGATGACCTTCAGTTGCCCTGTGTCTCCTTGATAAAATTAGTTTTGCAGAAAAGCAACTTCCCTAAAGTAAGGTCTCATCATAATAGATTAACAATTCTTTGGCTCCTTTAAAATCACATTTTCCTCAGTATCCATTTATGAGATCATATGAAGGCTGCCTTGGACTATCCTTTCCATTTCTATCCAAAACAGGATATAACTTTTCTATTTGCAAACTGATATAAAAACATAATTCATAACCCATTACTACACTGCAACCTCCCACATACATGGCAAAAAAGTAAAACCTCATAACATAGAAAAATCTCATTAAGCTTTAAAAGTTGGGGAATGTTTTAAATTCAGTCAACTCTTTACTAAAAGCTCTATAGGGGAAAACTATTCTAAATTTTTTCATAAGATAGAATCCCCAGTAGGTAGGGGTGTGTGTGAGCATGTGCACACGCATGTGTGTTTGTATTTATATTCACTGTTGATTTAAATATTCATATCATCTACTCAAAAAAATTAAACTTCATTTCTGGATTTCCATTTCATTAGTATTAGAAATTGTGAGAATGTATTTCCATTGGAGTAAATTAATATTAATTTTATATTATTTTATAGTATAAATCAGAAGTCAAAATCATGATGAAAACTTTGGAATATAATAGCACCCAATTTCTGCAAAACAGAACGCAAAAATAAAAAAAAATTAAAAAGTTCTTTAAGCATGCTTACTATGCATTTTCCTTGAATTTTCAGAACACGCTGGAGTCAATTCTACATGCTTCTGTGGAAGTTTATGTCCTCCCCCACCACTGCCCCTGCCCCAGTCATCACCACCCAGGAAGAAATTCTAAACTGAACAGAAAGGTTCTTGGGCATCAACTGAATGATGTGACTGAGAGTGGACAGTCACTGCGAGTGCCTCGCTTCCCATACACTCACTCTTTCTATGTGGCTGCAGGGACTGAGCAGTGAGGTTTCACTCTCACAGGTCTGTTGAATCTCAAATGGATTCATGATGCACCTCTCTTATTCCCTGAACTAAAAGTATCCCAACGTGTTTTATCAGAGAATTCTCTAATGGGGTTTAGAAGCTCAACTAGTTTAGAGGTATTTCATGTTCCTTTGCCAATATTTTCCATATGTATATTGCCTTATAGAAATTAGGGTAAGTGACTGTGTTTTGGAACAAGACTTGATATTATGGTTCAACAGGCCAAGTGATTCCTATTATTTTTCATGTTGTGGAACATAAAGAAAATTATAAGCACTTATAATACTTAATAAGTATATGATTATGAGCCTGCAAAACAAAGTTTATTTTTGTTATTATTTATTAATTATTATTTCCCATATGAATAACTGTCAACAACTTTTGCCCACCATATATTTATATAGTAGTGTATTATATTCCTAGGGGAATTTAGAGGAAAAGGGTACCTCTGTGGAATTTAATGAGAAAAAAGAAAAGTTACATTGCCTTAAAATATATAAAGATAAAATAAAAGTATTAGGAAAAAGTAGTAGTGAATTTTGTGCAATATCATGTAACTTTCTCCACTGGAAATCCATGGGCTATATGGCTCCCATTCCACTTATCAGCTGCAGAGACGACATTATAAACAAAGGAATTTCCCACACTTTCATAAGAAAATCAGCTTGTTCCTGTAACCATCACTTTTCTATCCCATTTTATGCTTTAAAAATGTCTATTCACAATTTCTACCAAGATATTTTCATCATAATTTCAAAACGTTGGTAGTTTCCATTGATGAGGATTTTTAAAAAAATGATTGGATGTGTTAAAACTTGTATTTTATAACCACTCAGATTCTGTAAAAGTTGAAATTCTCACTCAAAGTAATTTTAAATTTCCTGTGTTAACACAAAGGCAGTTCAAAATGTAAGGTCAACATGTTAAAATAATAATGGTGCTCTAATGTAGAATAAGCATGCAATGTTAAACAGCTGGCTAAGACACAACCAAGTGCAATTATCAGCCACAGATATATGAAAAGGCACCTTTAAACCTGCCCGGGGCTGAGCTTCCAGGAGCCCCTGCCCAGCCACCCCCAGCCCCCTTCCCCACCTCCCACCTCTGGCCGCACCTTGGGCTGGGATCTGAGCTCCTTGGGCACCTGGACCACGAACTCCTCTGGCAGCTCCCCGGGGCCCGGGTCCACGATGGGCTGTGGCGCGTTCTGCCGTTGGCTGCTGGAGGAGATGTCTGGGTGGGAGCGCGCCTCCTGGGTTGCGCTCAGCATGTCGCAGTGGAGCAGCCAGGGCTGGATGTCTCTCAATGTGCTTGCCACCTGCGGGCACCATCAGACTCCACTCAGCTCAGTACCGCCTCAGAGGAGCCCGCTAAAGGCTATTCCCAAGGCTGCTGTCAGCTGCAGGCCACAGGCCCCATCCACTAGCCACCCCAGGCCCCATTAAGACAACCTTGACCTGAGGAGTCATACCCCCCAACCTCTAGGGTGAGGATGACTCTGTAGGGCTGTCCGAGTTAAACACTGCCTTACTAAGCCAAACACCTCACCCTATCCCCAAAGAGGGTTATAAAATTAGACAAGATTATTGAAAACTGGGAAAGCTACCTGAAAAAAAATGTAAATGTTGTCTATATTTTTATAGATTCACAGCATTCTGAATGCCAATTATGGGCATTAATATCTATAAGTGTAAAAAAAAAAATTGGTTTACTGCACTACATAGTTTCACATAAAAAAAGCTTCTTAGGGTAACAAATGAAAAAAGTTTCAGAGGTGGTTTTGTATTAGTTTAGTTTTGTTTATTGTATTGTTATACTTACATGGATTGTTTTATATTTATTTATGTTTCAGGTCATTGAACATTTTTTTGAAAGATAATGTTTTAAGATCTGTGATGGACATTAGGTGAAAAGGATATACACATATTTTTTGCCATTTACATACACAGTGATTTTACTGACAAATGTACATATTACATCAATGAGTAAATAAGAAGGACCAAGACAATAATGAAAAAAATAAAATTTCACACATATGATTTTTTTTAATAATTCACAAAACAGTCAAACATCATATGCTATGAAAAACAGCTATTTAAGTACAGGATTTTTTTTCTGGTGAATTGGTACATAAAATACACATTTCTCTACACTAATTGCAACTAGTGTAATAAATAGGAATGATAAAAATGTTCCTGCCAAAATAAGAAAAAGTCTTTATAAGAATTTCGCTTTACAAAACTATTTTTAACATACTAGAGTATGCATATTTAAAACACATGAAAAATGCTACATGACTATCATTGAATAGTCAGGATAGAAACTAAGAAATTCAATAATGCAAGAGAATTTTATCATCTTTCTAACACTGGAAGTCTACACAGTGAGGATGTAATTTATTGATATATAAAATATTTGCAAGTTAAGAATGAAAACACGTTTTCTTTCAAATCACAAGAAATATTACAATCATATTGAAAACAACAACAAAAAATAAAGAAATCTGTCAAACAATCCATTGATAATGAAAAAGTTTCGATTACAACTACAAAAACATCATGTTTACTGAAGCTCATTACAAAAGATAGTCTAGATGCTATTTTGATAGTTTGTGTGAATGAAAGGAAGTGTCAAAGAAGGAAACAAGTTTTAAGGCCAAAAAAAAGTTGTGAAAATCAAAATCTCTTAAGTAAGTGCCTCCTTTAATGTTTAATCCAGTGATATCACTTCTGATATTTAACTTATGAAATATCCTTCTCCTCATAGCCCCAAATGACAATGTGACCAATTTTTCATTATTTTTATACAGATACATATAGGCACTTGTATCTTTCCCCTAACATCTTTATAACTACTGTACGAAAGAAATTTAGCAAAATATTAGGATGCTGTATTAGCCTACAAGCTTCAGATATGATGAAGTTAGAAGATTTCACCCACAGCCAAGTTGACAAATAAGAACATGTGGAGTGTAGAAGCATTGTGTTCCATTCATTCATTCAACAAATATTTACGCAGTTCCCATGATGTGCCAGCTTTTCTTCTGGGTACTGAAGATTTTGATAAACAAAACAGACGACATACCTACATCAATGAATCATCATTCTTTTGTGAGAGAAACTATACAAATGGATAAATAATTTTCAAAGGAGACATCTGTAACACATTCAACAATAAAGATACATTCTAAAAAAATAATTTTTAAAAATACCATATAGAGAGGAGCAATTTATAGGAAGTTTAAATAGGATAACATGTAAGAATAGGGGTAAGGGTGAGAGATCAACCAAAGGACTTGTATGCAGGCATATAAGCCTAAGCAATGGACACAGACACCAGGAGGGTGAGGTCATGAGTGAGGGTGGGGGGTAGGGGCAATGGGGGGATAAGGACACATATTAAATAAATAAATAAATAAATAAATAAATAAATAGACGGTAAAAGAAAAAGCTACTCTGTTTAAGTGTTTATGGGAGACTTGTCTACGGGAGTAAAATTTAAGATTTTAAATTTAAAACTTGAGATCTCGAGTTGCTAGCCGTCAGCACTAATAATAAAGAGCACTCCACGCTGCTGCAAAGCCCTCAGGCTGGAGCCACCTTGGTGGGTTGAAGAAATGACATAATACAAATATCAGAAGACCTCACTTATATGTGGAATCTAATGAACACAATGAAATTGTCCAACAAAACAAGAGGAGAAGCATGAAGTCATGGAACAGACTGGGGTTGGGGGTTCAAGAAGAGATAAACCAAAGAACTATATGCATAGCTCATGGACACAGGCAAGAGGGTAGTGAAGACCTGGAAGAGTGGGTAGAGGCTGGGAGGAGGGGGTAAAAGAGGGCAAAATGGGATATATCTGTAATAATTATTATAATTATTTCAGATATATCCCATTTCATATATATATATGTGAAATAGTACAACGGCCAATGAAGCTGTTAAGCTGTTACATGTAGTGGTCTAGGAGAAGAATGGTAAGATTGTAAGACTTGAAATCAGAGAGTTTAGCAATAAGTAGATCATAGATTTTGTAAAAAAAAAAAAAAAAAAAAAAAAAAAAAGTGGGCAAATAGTTTAGTTTTGGGGCAATCAAGCATCTGTTTGGAATTCTAATTAAAGCTCCTGGGAAGGAAGAATAGGGTACAATATGGGGGTGGGGGGGGGGTGGAGAAAGGGAATAGTGATCTCTACTGAATTAGAGATCAATTATTTCAAGAAATTCTAGAGTCCACAGAAAATGATGACAGATTTAAAATGCATCTAGAGTAGAATTACCTGAAAAATATAATAATGTCTGTATTTAATAAAATAATCTTAAATTAAAGAAGAAATAAGAACATGCTCAAACTAGAACAAGAGAGCAAGGTCTACAGAATTAGAAACAGTAAGTATGGATCAAAGAATAAAATTATTTTATTTTATTGAGTAAGTTTGAAGAATTCAAAAATATCAGGAAGCGAAGTAGAATTTGAGTACTGTGTTAAAAGGAATTAGACTCTGATGTGTTCTATGAAACTGGAATATACAGTGTCTGTAGATTTCTTTAAATTAAACATCTCTATGAAAGAAATCTAGAGTACCTGTCAGTGAGAGCAAAAATGGAAGTTGTTACACTGTCCATATGGAAAAGGACTATTAGAACGGAGCCAAAATCTTAACTTTTGGCATAAACAAAATATTGTATCTATTAGACTTACTGTACTGTAAAACATTGGAGAAAATATTTGAGTTATAAATATAAATCTAATTTTTCTTCCTTAAGCTATTATAAAAATATGTCTTCAAGATAAACAGACTTTTGAGACTGGTATTCCATTAGGACTATGGAATCTTAAGTCTGGAAGGAATCATTCAACTAACATACTTACATAATAATCCTCAGATCATCCCTGCTAAAAATATTTGAAATTTCCCAGGAAAAGTCCGTGATCACTCTGTTCTTGAAACACCCAAATCCATTTGAGGCAGCAAGTTCCTCAAGTCAAGAAAAGTGATATCTACACCCTGGCATTCTCCACTCACTTATCTAAATGCTACACAAATGGTATGCAAAACAGATCAAGCTACTCCAAGAAGGCACTTGTCATCAGATATTTGAAGCTAGCCTTCACATCATAAATGCCCCATTTTTTATCTAAAAAAAAACATTTTCCCTTACGCATTCCCTTAGATGTGTAAGGGAAAATGTTCCTTTTAAATTAAAAAATACCTCAGAATGTTACAGCATTAACTATAATTTCAAGGCATCCTCCCCCCTTACATTGTACTACTCTTCTACCTCCATTGGAGACCACAATTTCAAACTCTGTCATATGTAATTCTAAAGTATCCCAAGTATTTGGTGCTGGGACAGAAAGTAATGATAAGGCCAACACATCTTTTTCTTCTTTCTAATCTTCTCTAAAGAGAGGGAAAAAAAAAACGTCATTCTTATCTCCTATAAGAACTGTAACACTAACAACAAATTTTCTAAAAAAATAAACTATCCCATTTACAATAGCATAAAGACAGTGAAACAGGTATAAATTAAAAGAGGATCAAGATGCCTATTCTGAAAAATACAAGACACTGACAAGAGAAACTGAGGTAGATACAAGCACATTTGTGTTCATAGATTGGAAGATTTTATATTGTTAAAATAACCAAGAGCTATCTATAGATTCAATGCAAAAGATTCCAATGGTGTTTTTATAGAAATAGAAAAGAAAATATTCCTAAAATTTTTTTATTCATTGAAAAATTAAAGAAATACTGAGAAAGAACCAAGCAGGAGGAAATACATTTTTTGATTTCAGCTATCCAAGAAAGCTATAGTCCTCAAAATAGTATGGTTTTGGAGGGGAAAAAAATCCTGACAAACCAATGAAACAGAATCAAGAGCCAGATACATATGCTCAATTAATAATTAACAAGTCAAACAGTAATACTAAATAGAGAAAAAGCAGTCTCTTTAATAAATCATGCTGATATAATTGGATATTTACATCTAAAAGAATGAAAGTTACACCACATCTTACACCAATCACAAAATTTAATTCAAAATATCTAAAGACTTAAATGTAAGACCTAAATCCAAGAAACCCATAGAACAAAAAATGGGAATAAAACACAAAATCAACAATAAACAACTGGAACTAAGTCAAACAAAAAAGCTTCTGCAGAGCATAAGAAATTATGAAAAAAGTGAAAAGACATCCTATAGAATGGGAACAAATATTCCCAAACAATATATCTGATAAGGGATTAGTTCCAGAGTATCAAAGAAATCAAGGATTCAATAGCAGAAAACAAAGACACAAGCAAACAAAAACCT